GTTAAGGTTGATGCTGTGCTATAAAATGTATGCTATGTCGTACTTTATGTTTTCTCAGGACTATTTTAAATATCTCGAGTACTTTAAGCTGTTGTCATAACTCGTAAAATATACAACTGTTCAACCGACTCCATAGTAATGGCTACTGTTGTGTTGTTCCTCAGTCGTCAAGTGTGTGCTGGTAGCAAGTCCAGGTTTTGTCAAGGTGAGTCTGCTCTGGCTTGTGTAGCAACGTTTTTAACTTGTGAATGTTGTTGTAAAGTTTTCTTGAGTCTCATGTATTCCTCCCCTCCGCTCCGATGACCTCACCTTTTACTTTCACTCCCTCTTTTTTTTAAAAATACCCCTTACTTCAAATTCATAAGAAGAGATAGTTAAAGCAGGGTTGTAACTGGATTATGTTGTACCAATATTTGGATCAGGTTATGACGAATGAAGTAGAATTTGTAAGTAGAGAAAAACAGTCTACGATCACAAAACAATTACATGTGTAAAATTTGGATCAGATTGTTTTTGAGTGACATACCCCTCTTCCTTTTACGTTTTGTCTTTTTTTAGGAGGATGGAAGGAGCCCTGACTTTATCGCTGATATTTTATTTTCTATCTTCCAGGACCACTTTGCGGATTACATGTTTGCCCAGGCGCAGAAGATGGACGACAAGACGCTCATCGACAACAAGTCCAAGTTTGTGATGGTCCACTCTTCCTCGGGCTTCAAGCATTCTCTCAAAGGTCGGCTACAGCTGTGGGTTTTTTGGGGTTGGTTTTTTTTGGGGGGGGGGGGGTTAGTAGAGGTTTTACGGCGCTCTCAACTGCATAAGGTCATGTGAGCGCCAAGGGGTGGGTGTCAACAGAGAAGTCTTTACAGGGAATCGGGCTTACTCTGCTCACCTGTCTAGCTTCAACAGCGCAAAGTCTGGATCGAATTTCAAGGCACCCCGGAAATAGTGGGTCACAAGAGTGTGACAAACATGCAAAAAAAGTAGAGGAAAATGACAATAGTAAGGATTAGGAAAGAAAAAGCAGCAGTTCCCTGTTGCAGTTCAGGCACAGTTATGAGCCTGACATTGTTGAACCAGCCCATTTAAAATTGTACTGTGCATAAAATCGAGAAATGTCCCCCCTTTGGGAATGGCCTAAAGACACTTCAGTCAGTAGCGCTGTTGAAACTAGAGAGGTGAGCAGAGTAAGTCTGATTCCCTGTAAGGGCTTCTCTGTTGACATCCACCCCTTGGCGCTCATTTGACCTCATGCAGTTGCGAGCCTCGTAAAACCTCTACTAAAACAAAAAAACATCTTGCACTCAGCCGTCAACTTGACCAACAAAACCCTAGTTTTGCAGGAGACACAGAATATGTTTCAATTCGAATGTCTATGCACAATCTAGTGCTACACTTGTAGATAGGTCACCGTGAAGGAAAGTTGTTGGCATTTCACTCTAAATACTTTCAATGCACTTTGGGGTTTGGGCTCTGCTTTCATTTTTATTCTCAGGTTCTATCAATTCTTTACAAAAATGGATTATTTATTATTTTTCTTTTTTTCAAATTTTGCAGTCTAGAACTGTTTTGTGTAGGAGAAAAAAAAAGAAAAGCAACCTTCTACAGTGTGTAATGCAACTTCCCTAATCAAATAAAAGACAAACAATAGCCTTGATTTCACGTATTGTAAAATGAATAGAGTCTTCTTCCATCTATGAAAGGCTATAGAGACGTCTATGCTGTTCTAATAATGCAATCCATTATTTTCTTTCTATTAACTGTTTCAGAGGTGTTGGCCGATCCAGCGATAGCGACAAAACTGTCGGACACAAAAGCCGCCGGGGAGGTCAAGGCTTTGGACGACTTCTACACCATGCTGCAGGTTGACCCCAACAAAGCTTACTATGGGTAGGTGGTAATAATAATACTAATTATAGATTGCATTTTTATAGCGCTCTATACCATACTAGTATAAAAGCTCTGAGCTCTTTCCACCAATCGCATAATCATTGGAGGTACGACAAGAAAGTACTGAGGTCGCAATCTGTAAACAGAATATTTTTCTATGAAATTGAAACAGAAACCTTTTCCCCGTATTTATGAATTCAGTTCTCCATTTTTTTTCTTTGTGTGTCCTCATGATCCTAATAAATATGTCAGGAAGAGTTACACATAAATATGTCAAGGGCAGTTTGACATCAGTATAGATATATCAATCAGAGCTTCACAGAAATATGCCGAGAAAGAGTTTGACATTAATATGAATATATCCACAAGAGTTTCACACAATTATGTCACGAAGATTATGACCTAAAAATGTCAAGAAAAGTTTGACATAAATATAAATATATCCTATCCTCAAGGGTTTCTCACAATTATGTAAAGAAGAGTTTGACATCAATATAAATATATCCACAAAGGTTGTCACACAATTAAGTCAAGAAGAGTTTGACATCAATATAAATATATCCACAAAGGTTTCACTTGAATATGTCAAGAAGAGTTTGACATAAATATAAATATATCTACAAGAGTTTCACACAATTATGTCATGAAGAGTTTGACATAAATATAAATATATCCACAAGGGTTTCACTTAAATATGTCAAGAAGAGTTTGACAAAAATGTGTAGAGGTTTATAAGAGTTTGACTTCAATATACGCAATTATGTCCTGAAGAGTTTGATGACCCTCTTGTTTCTCTCCCCCCCCTCAGAGCGCGACATTGTGAGAGAGCCGCTGAGGAACAGGCTGTAGAAACTTTACTCATATCTGACGAACTGTTCAGGTCAGTTGATACTTTGATAGATTTTATTTGGTAATGCTTTTTTGGTTCGTGTTACATTTGATCAGGTAATGCTTTTTGTTAGTATGTAATGCTTGTTGATTCATGTTAGATTTATTGATTTATGTTAGATTTTATAAACTAATGCTTGTTGATTCATAAAAGGTTTGTTGATTTATGTTAGATTTGATAAATTAATGCTTTTTGATTCATGTTACATTTTATTATGTAATGTATTTTGATTCATATTAGATTTTAGAAACTAATGCTTGTAGATTCATGTTGGATTATATTACGTAATGCTTTTTTTATTCGTGTTAGATTTTACTAACGAATGCTTGTTGTTTCATGTTAGATTTTATACAAACTAATG